GTGACTCAATGCAAATTGAGAATAATATGAGCTGAAGAATCCACAATCGGACAAAATCAAAAGTATTTTGAGGAGGAATTTGTGCCTTGGATTCTATTGTGTTTAAATTGCTGGTTTCTGAAAGGCAGTTTGAGCAACTTTGGATTCTCTAGTGTTTGCTAATGCTGTGAGTGTTATGTATGTGATGTGTTCAGTGCAAAATATTAAGTACATCAAAGACAAGGAGCGTGATGTAGAACAGCTCATAAAAATGGGAACCTGCTTAAACCGATAGGCTTCTCCTGTTAACTGCAGCTGTGTCTCACTGACCACGAACAGTTTGACAGCATTTCTATCATACCCGGTGTCCCAAGTTGATGTAATCTCTAAAACCTTCAGAAGAAATTAATGGAAATGTCTAGATAGGTTTGGGTTATCTGCAGTGATGGGGTGATCAGGCAGTTAACTGTGGTACCCCATTAATCAGAGGAAAATGAATGATTTTTTTAACATGACATAACCTGCAATTTCAGCCTGTTAATTTGAACAAAAAGTTATGGAAACTGAATTTTGGGTAACTGATGAAAATTGCTATAAACTTCCATGTAACTCTACATGAAAAAAACTTCAAGCTGTGAAAATTGGATCAGGCCCAACAATATCCCAATCTATCTTCCATTTCTGTTACTGAATGGCCCAAGTTGCCTTGGAGGGATGAATGAGATCTTGTCTCAGTGTGCTGATTTATGTTGTATTGATCATTACATTCATTCTTTTCTTAGAATCTAATATTTAGATGTAATCTGAAAACTAAAATTATGAATCTCAGAATCTCAGGATGTGAATCGGGTTTTTTGACTGTTTGCATGGAGTACAGCAAATGTATCCCTGATCCTGCCTGGGCAGTGAATACTGCTGCAATGCAAACAATAATAATTACATTTACTAAGGCTAAGAGAGGCAAAAAATAGAAGTCCATTTCTGTGAAGTAATGAAAGGTACAATAAAAGCCAGCTAGCTGGCATGTTCTCTTTCCCATGGAAACATGAGAAAAGAGCAAACCTTCTGCTGAAATAAAAGCAGTCTCCATGAAAAAGAATAATTTCTTTTTAAAACCTGTGGGCATCCCTGCAATCTGGGGCTGCGGCCACAGGGGCTGCTCCTCTGCAGGCACACTGGTTCCACTGGGGCTTGGTGTGGATGGGGAGAGTTGCACACACAGACCAACTCGTCTGATTACTGAGGCTTGAGGCATGTCCACCTATTCCAAATAGAGCCTAACACAAATGCTGGGCTAAATTTATCTAGATGATGAGTCCATTAGGCAGGCAATCATCCTTTTGTTAATCACGTAGATGTGCAGTGCATAAAACAGTGATGTGGGGGTCTGCCAGAGCCCAGTACAACGAGAGGAAAATCATAATAGGGATTGCTAAGAGAAGGTGGTGTTGAAAGAACACACAGAGGTGAAACAGCCCTTGGGGGTGGCTAAGGTGGGGGCAATTTTCCTGGGGGTTTGTCCCTGGCTTCCCTGCTGTGGCATGTTGCTGCTGCTTCTGCCGTAGCCCTTCTCTGCCCGTGCAGAACAGAAGCACCCGCTCTCCCAGCTCAGGGGATGACGCCTTCATGTCTGGTCAAGTTTCCAGGGTTCGCTTGGGTTTCATACCTTTTTCTTGGTTGGGAAAATTTTGGAAGTGGAGCAGAGAGACCAAACAGTATCCTGTGTTTGCTTCTGGGGCAGGGAGTGCATTTGTTTTCAGCATTAGGGGATCTCCAGTTTACTGATGCTTTACAGCATCTGTGTACATGAATTGTCCCCATGAACACAATATATCCTCTGCTGTAGTTTGGCGATGGGTGAGAATTAGATGTTTCCATACTAAATAGATTTCCCAATGCTTAAGTAGTTGCCGAAGCCCTGAAACATGAGGAGCACCTCAAAGGGAAGCGCTCAGGGTTTTGTAGTGTCTGGTCATGAGATCGGTGTTTTCTTCAGTGTGCTGCTTCCAGATGCTGTTCACCAAGTAGGGTCCGGAAGCCAATTATATTGCATTATACGATATAGCAGTGCTCAATGGCTTGCATTGTAACCATTTGTTGCATTTAATGGATTATAACTGACACCAACCCATGTCAGAGAAATTATTTCAGACTGGGTTGTTGTTATAGAAGCCATAGGATGAGACCAATAATCACTGCAAGACCAAACAACTATTTACTAAGAATGCTTTATATAAAATGCATGTAGAAAATTTACAATATTTACATGCTACCACAACCTACACCCACAAACAAAATTTGCTACATTCGCCATTCAACAGAAAGTGAGATGAAAACCATGATTCAGCGTGCAAACGCACAAACAGAAGTTGCTGTATCTTTTCATTCATCTTCAAATGCATCCTGACAGATATTGCTTGATAGTCTCTCCCCAAGATAATATCTGGCAAGCATGCCTTTGGATTATTCAGAAATAAAATATGATTATTCAGTGTGATCCCTGTTGCGATACACTCTGCATGCAGAGACCAAGAATATGTACATTTAGACAAAAAAGGAAGATAATGCCAGGAGCATTCCCCAAGCAACAGCAGGCATGGTGTTATATATTGAGAGTTGAGGAGAGAACACAGAGTAAAAAAAATTTGTTTGTAATAAGACAGTTTGTCTTAGCATGAGCTGCAAACTTGTGGAGTTCCCCACAGTTTCCTTCCAGCCCTTTCTAGCAGCCACGACTCGTGAGTTAATCAAATCAGTCCCTAGCCATAGGGAGGGTTTCTCACTTTAAGGTGCCACCAGTAAATCTGAAATACTTTTTCACAGTTCAAATAAATTTTCTTTCAAATAAGCTCCTAAATAACAGTTCTAAAAAAAAAAAACTTTTAATATAATAAATTGCTAAAAAAACACCTCCAACACAATAACATGGGTCAGTCCTGTGCTGAGATCAAAAAGCCCGGTCCATTTGCAAGGAGAACTGAAAAAAGTCATCTCTCCAGTATAGCAGACATACAGACATGTAGGGAATGGCATTGTTCTCCCTCCCAGCTTTTTCTGGCAGGCAGAAAATTTCTGAATTAAATTCTGAAATCAGAAAGAAAACTGTAGAAATATTTTCTGTTCTCTTTGGAACAGGTGATTTGAGAATGAGGCAAACAGAAGCCTTCCAGTAAACACTAAAGAATTTCACGTATTTGATTACCACTGAAAACAGCATATGTGATGTTACGTTAAAACAGCAGTCAAAAGTTAAAACTCATCACTTTAGGCTTACGCCAGTGTGTTTCTTTGCCCTAATCTGACAAAAGGAGAGTATTACTGAAATTCTTCTCTTGTTGCTCAAACACAGGTATTTAAGTGAACCAATGTAACTGCTTTTCTGAATGACTAAATAAGTGCAGGGGCTTCTGTCTATTCATTTCCTCTTGTTGACAAAGCAGTAAGATGAACGATGCATGTTTACTCCTGAGGCCCCTATGCAAGGGCTGTACAGTGATTTAATTACCAGAATGTGGAGGTGAACGTGAAGGTTCCCACGGCAACCTTAGTGTATTTAAAAAATAGACAACCAGATTTTTTTCCTGGCATCATTCTGTTGATGTCAAGTAACATTTGCCGAACAACTGTCTTCCTTTCCCCCTATTTTTTTTTATGCTTTCACCTTCTTTTCCCCACCATTTTCTCTGAACCTGGGCAAAATGCACTAATGGTGCAAACTGGTATAGCTCCACTGACAGTGCTGCAGATGTGCTGATTTATGCTACCTGAATTTTGCTGTGGATCTAGCCCACACAACTCTTTTCCTTCCTTTAATTACTTTTAGTATGAAATAGTCCTACTCATAGAGTTAAGAAATATAGCAGACAGTTTCTAAAAAAATTATGATTTAAAAAAAAAGATGAAAATTTTCCACCCTTTTCTATAAATATAATAAAAATCAAAACAGCATTACCCAAATTGCAGCTCTTGTTTAAGTATGGATAGTTGCGTCTGTTTTTCTTAAAATATTAGTCATCAGGGTTTGCTATTCTGCATTACATCCTACCAAGTAAAGGCCAGTAAAAATAAACATGGAAGAACCATGTCATGCTTAATTTGTGGCAAATGTCTAATAGAATTCCAGTATTTACAGACAAACACTTTTTTTCTGGATCAAGTACTTGCTGTCAACAAGTGTAACAGCAACTACATTACTGAACCTGTTGGAAGCCTGGTGAAATCTTTGCAGCACAGCAATTAAGTAAATAGGCGCTATCCTAATGTGCTGATCAAAACACTGATTGATTTTGAAACCTCTTCTGTGCCATTTCAGCAGCTGTTTTTATGTACAATATCCTGATTAAGACAGACTAATGTATTTACCCAAGCCATGATCCTGAAAAATGCTTAAGCACATATTTAATTTCAAGCATGTAAATACCCTGATTGAGTCAGACTGTTCGTGTGCTTAAAATTAATTAGGTGCTTAAGTGCTTTGTTAGATGAGATGAAGGCATGCCGCTGGAGCTTCTGAAGGCCTTTCAACTTTTGTAAAACTCCAGCTCAAACAAAAACTTCCAGAGTAATTCCACAGGCATCCAGAAAGCAGTACTTGCAAAGGCTCCTGACGGGAGCTGAGATGTTCCAGACAGGGTCCCAATGGAGACCACAAATAAAATTTGACAATCCAGTCTCAGCCTTGAGTAACCGGACCTGGAGCATCCTCCATCCCACCTGCCGTGGCTGAGCCAGCGTGGAGCATCCCTGCGGAGGTGGTGGCAAGCGCTTGCCTGCCTGGGGTTCTGGCCAAAGGTATCATTGGTGATGGGTGAAATCCTCATGTGTCCCCAGCCTGGCCGGGCAGCGAGCCAGCTGGTGGGAGAGGATTCAGCATGGTCAGACCTCACACTGGGTGAGCTGAGAAAGGGGAATCTGGTGTGGTCAGTGTTGCTACAGTGTTTGCTTGGCATCCTCTATTTTAAAGAATTTTAAGCTGGTCCTGACTAGGATAACTGGCTCCTTTGGAGCATGATTTTCAACTTTTAACAGATCATAAAGTCTTCAGAAAAACTTGCTGCTTTGTCCATGTTAACTACGTCACTATTACTGACAGAGACAAAAATCCTGTCCTCTCTTTTCAGCTGAAACACACCACCTTGGTAGATGGAATAAAGTCCACATTGTGCCTTTTTAGACCAGCAGCTTGTTCTTGCACTTTTCATTAGCAAAATGGGCTCTGGGTAATTAGTCAGTTTGTAAATATATTGGACAAGCTGTTTGGGGTTCCTGATTTGTACCAACAAATCTGAATCCTCGTTCTCGTTTTCACAGAAACAAAAATAAGCTTGTGAGTAGATGTACTAAAAGCCTGTTTGCGGTATCACTAACTCACCATCTCTCAGCTCCACGTTGTAAAGGAAAGAATGGCCTTTCCTGGACGATTCCCAGTTGTTTTTGTCTGTTCTCTCTTCTGGACAAGGAATCTGCTTGAGGAAAAAAAAGAGAGAAGGTGTTAAATTAAAAGCCAGATAGTGAAGCCAGGTGTCTGCTGGTTAGGGAGTCTGGTTTTTAATAACGAAGTAAGGAACCTGCTCTTCCCAGCAGGTCATTAGGTCCATTCTCAAAACAATGTGAAGGTCCAGAAGTAAGCTGGCTAGCTCTATGTGGGTATTCACATGAACTACCTTTATTTTTAACTTTTGTGCTCCCAAATAAGAGAAAAATCATCACGTTGTTACTTAGTAACAAAGTTAAAATTGCCATGTGTGTCTGATAAAGCCACAGAAACCCCACCAAGCTGTTCATTAACATGGCCTGAATGTCTCTCTTCTCTCTGTCTTGCGTTTCTAATAGGTCTGCCACCATAACAGCTGGGACTCGTGCAACTGGCAGGAGGAAATTAAAGGTAAGAAAAGAGGAAAACTTAACATTAGGAAAAAGGATATTTTTTTTTTTCCCCTAATGAAGGTTCCAGAAGGTAAGTTAGGGAGCACCCAGACGGAACAGGCTTTCTCCCTGCCCTGCAAGAATTAGCTGAATAAAACATTGCCTGGGACAAGAAGACTTTTTAAAGATTTGTTTCTTACTGTTAATTCAATGCAAGTATTAAAAAGTGTACATAAGCATGAGGTTAGCAATGAGAGTGATTTCTGCAATCTTTAACTGTTTTTAAAGGTTTTCCCTTACTGCGTGGGGACAGGGAATTCTTCCTGTTGCTGTTGCCCACCAGATGCACCACGATCCTGTTGACAGGAGTTGTGTGGCCGCTGCCCGTCAGTGCGTGACACCATCAGGGCTCTTTCAGCTAAGGAAAGACAAGAAAAGGAACCTCACATTAGAAGCAAGGATGTAAGAAAGCACATCTGCCCTGTCTGATTTGATTTTAAGGAATATGTATGTCTTTTTTCGCAATTGACTAAATCCTAAACTGAGTGCTCTATATTGGCTAATGAGGCTCAAAGTTCTCTTCTGCTCTTGGTCTCCTTGAAAAGTCTTTATATGCCTCTTTGTTCTCCTTTTTTTCTCCTTCCCCCGCCCCAAAACTATCAACAGACAACTTAAAAAATCCCACGGTACCAAATTTTCACATTCATAATCAGTATCTTTTAAGGTTAAGTATCCATAACCTTTCCTCTGACTTTCCACTTGGAGATTGTAATGCTTTCGCTCAACATGTTTAGATCTGTGTGAGCTTCAGCAGAGCTATTCCTTGACTGATCTGTGCCTACAGCAGTTCAGTGCTGCTGAAATGTCCCCATAACACTGTGGGAATGAGGCTGAGAGGCCAAGTCCTGTACATCCACCTTGGTTACCTTCCTCTGACCACTCAACCGTATTTCTGGCTCCTGAAAATTTGCCTTCTAGTAATAAGTAACCATTTTTTGATAACTTGCTGCTGAAGAACTGTACAAGATCTCAGTCATTGGTTTCTGCATTTTTAAAAAATTCCTTGAGTTACTACATGTCAGGTGCCACTAGCCACAGTTAATAAAATTATTATAATACCATTGACTGCAGATATGTTTTCCTTGTAGCTTCTTGACATCATCTGCCAACAAACACAGAGAAAACAAATTAGTTTGTCAGCAGAAAGGTATAGGTGCCGGAAAAACCATGCCTTTCTCAAACTCATGAATAAATGGTACTATGAATGTCATCAACGTGCAAATTGAAAAAAGCCCATTGATTTATTGCAATAAAATAAGTCCATATTTACATCTTTTATGTAACTAAATATGTGGGAAAACATTTCCAAGAGAGCTCAGCCATCTGGGCTTTAAGTCTGTTGGAAAATTTGGCCTTCATGCTTTTCTCAAATAAGAGATACAGTACACAAGCATCAGCTTCCATTTGCAGAATACTTGGCAGTGTGCACTTCTGTGCTATCTTAGCTCTGAGAAATTAAATTTCATTTGTTTTTATACCTCTACCTATCTAAGCTCTTAAGCCAGCATATCCTACTTTGTGCATTCCACTTCTTTACAACTGTTTGCTGACTGCTGAAATGAACTATTTTGGTTACTGACAGTGGTGCGGCAGCAGCAAGAATGCTGATGGTTTGTGCTGAGTTAACTGGGTGACTAACACAGGTCCTGTATTGCCACTTACTGATGGGTTCTGCCCTGCCACATTTCCATTTACCTGTATATCCATCCATCTATATTATTATTATCATCATCATCATTATCATGTATTATTTCTGGCTATCTTTTTTCAAGCAATCAGGGAGTTAGTAGGTACATTAGATGTGAAAACATCCAACAAATCAAACAATGTTTTCTTTATGCAGAAGTTCAGGGACTTCACTGGCAGAACCTCCACCAAAGGAGCTGAGATCTCTGAATACAAAGACAGCATCTATTTTGGGCTGCAAGATTTGCCAGGTAAGTTTCAGCCAGAAGTGAATTTTTATGGATGAACTTTTTTAAAACCATAGCAGAAGATTTTAGCCTTTCTGATTTTTCAGCCAGGCTTATTTTCTTGTCTGTGGCCAAAATTGTCTGTATTGTGTGTAAGTCATGCAGGAGACGGTGTTCTTTGAAGGCTGAGCTGGGACGGTGCTGTGCCTGATGCTGTGTGCTCATTCGCTCTTTCCTCGCCTAATACATTACACGGGTCATGACTAGACCATTCCCCAGTCACCTTTTTACCTCTCCCCATGTTACATTACATCTCATTTTCTCATGCCAGTCCCCCCGTATTCCAAAGAGGCAGTGACACCTCTGCCAGCGCTACAAGGTCAGGGAGAAAACAAGCTCAAGCCAAGTGCTTCTACCCTGAGGTATTTCAGATAAGCCAACCTATCGCTGAAATTAGTTTAGTATAAGCTGATTGTCTTTGCTTTAATATTTCCTGAATCTAATGAAACCACTGGCAGGATATTTTTTTGGCTTCAGTGCAAGCGCTCTGCAGCTGAAGCTGTGGCTCGACTATTGCTTTGCAATAAAACAATCCAGGAGCCCCACTTTATTCAGCTATTAGGATGCTTTGAATAGTAATATCACCAAGCACACTACTTCGGCGTGTCAGTTCCTGAATACCTTTTTAATTAACTTTCCCAGGTGCCACTTTACTTACCAGC